TGTATAGCAATAACAATATTCTGTAAAGTAGAGTAGGGGACGGTTGGAACCTCCATCAGGTGGTCCCACTAGAGAATTTCCCTCAGTTCCTGTCTGGATGACAACACTGTCCCCACCACAGAAAGGGAGAGGGCAAAGCTTCAAGGCTTCAAACCACAACAAAAACATGATCGAGGTTGATTTTTATAGATATTTCCGGAATTAGCAGTTCCCTGAAAAATGTTGACTCTCTAGTAATGCAACATTGTCGAGGAATGGACCAAACTTTCCCAAAAGAGTCCCCAGAAGACCATTTCCCAAATTAATTCTCACAAGGTAAAGCCATTAACACGTAAAAAAATGGTAACATCCATTTCTTTTAAACTATACCAATATTTCCCATTTCATTTACATTCATGCTGTTGCACACCCTAAGAGAAAGCTTTAGCTCAAGAGTTTGTAAATGTATCATCCAAAGCAACCAACACATCAGGTAATGGTATTCAATGTGCTGATGTAATCTTACATCAGCCTCTGAAAATCCATAATCATACTTTCTGAAATGGAGCACAGCATGATCCTATTCTTGTGTAGCATTATCTTAGAATGCAACAATCAACCTAAACAGAAAGTTTGCTTCTCAAAAGCAAAAGGAGATAAAAAGGTTTGCAAATCATTACTTAGAAAAAAGTCACTACAATAGAAAACTAACTTTTATGCCTGCAGAAAAGTGTTTCCAGTAGAGAAACCACCTCCGCATGACATATCTAAAAGCACACGCAAATGAATCTGCAAAGCATTTACTATGCATGAATAACCATCACATCCACATATCTACAATATTTAAAGCAGTATCAAACTCTCAATAATTAATCCAGATCAAACAAGTAAACATTGCTCAGCAAAGCATTGCTTTACATTTTTGACCAAACACTTACAATCATGGTGCTTCTAAACAGCGGCTTCCAGGTCTCTCAGCTCTGCTTCCCTGAACTTCCTGTCCAGTACAACATCACCAAGGACAGAGCAGACTCCATCAACTGCTCAATCTACTGGCTTGGAGAAGGGAGGAGGGGGAAATAGCTTGATTTGCTGTGTGTTTGTGGAGACACACACAGCTTACTAGCACACACACACAAGGGTGACTCCATAGCACTCTGCATGAGAAAGGAGTCACTCTAAAACAGTAAGTCATGACCAGTGCTCAGAGGACCAGCTAATTCTGCAGGAAACTAAACCGTTTAAACATCAACGAGCAGCATTCATTGTAAGTGGTTTCATCAGCATTTGAAATGACAAAGTCCTTTTGACTTTAATATCAATATAAAGAGGAGATTGAATATAAAGAATGCAGAGCAAGAAAGCTACATCAATATTTACAATTTATACAAAGTGCAACACTAGTCATGCCATGTATATTTGAAAAAGTGTGTGTGTGTGGGGGGGGGTAGAACTCCTGTCAGGTTTGTATTACTGTCTGTTTCATGGCTAGGGATATTTTTCATCTCATATACAGTAGTGATCCTGCAATGGGTTTAAAGCACTGAGAATCTCCGCAATGGGTTTAAAGCACTTGAAGCAACACTCATACCAGGTATCTATTTGAAGACATTCGTTCTGAATAGCTTCTTAGCAAACCAGCTTAATCCAAGAATGTAATAAAGATACATGCCATTTACTGTATAGTCAAGGCTGCCTCTTCATCAAGTCCGTTTTTTTTAAACAGCTATAGCAACTCTGACATACTGAAAAATAACGGCTCAAAATGGGTGTGCTATGTGAATCATCACCGTTCCCAGAATGCCACCACTGTGATGATACAGGCTTACTACCATAGTCCAGAGTGCCTAGAGAAAACCACAAATGAGGGTTACATCTACTTTAATAGCTATTATATTCACAGTGGACATTTGTCCTTCTGCTCACAACAGAAAGGATCTTATTTTGACAACCATTTATTAGGGCTAAAATAATAATAAAGTGCATAAAACCATGTTTCTTATTTAGAAAATACCTTTTAAACACAAATTAATTGTGATCTAAAAGTAAATTGTATATATCCCAATGTAGGATAGTTCAGTTTGTAAAATTGAGAATTGTGGCCTCTATGCATATACAGTAAGTCAACAGTGCTGAACAGTGTTAACAGAGTTAACAAATCATGTGCATTATTTTACCCATTTACCTCAATCTTGCTCATTCAGATAAGCTCAGCTTGGCTTTTTATCATTTCAGGCCTAATGTACCCAGCTACAGGCAAATCTTAGGAGTAGATATTTTTCCAATAGAGTGCAGATTAGCAATTATTAATACTTCTATTAGTGAAAGGTTCATTTTCTTCCAGACTGTTGCCTTGTTACTATATATGTGTGTTAATCCTGTCTGAACATTCAGCTCCACTCATTAGAACAAACATCTGCTACACGCGTGGTTAATGATAGACGTAATGGCAAGACACTAACACGTTGATTAGCAGAAGAGCCAACGGCTTTGAACACATCATTTTCCTAAACATATTGTAACAATTGTTATTCAGAGAACCCACACCTCATGTATTACATGGCATGAACATATTAAGGCCAGTTAAAGGGCACAGCCAAATGCGTACAGGGTATTGAAACAAAAATTTTTGCTAATCAACACTTTGCCCCATGTTAAATTTACTGTGCAAGACCTGTAACCTACAAACCTGCAGTACTGGATGAGAGTGTTTTCTATAATATAAAGCATAATGGCATGCCTAGAAAACATATTCATCCCATTAGAAGTGTTCAGGTTTTATTGTGTTTTATATATTTGTTTTAATTTTGTTTTTAAGACACCAAATCAACAGTAACAGACTCTTACATGTCAAAGTGAACACAGAACTCTACAACGTGAATTACATTTAATACAAGCTAATTATACAAGTATGCACCCTCTTCAAGCCACTATTTAGTAGATGCACCTTTGGCAGAAATTATAGCCTTGATTCTATGTGGAGCAGAATGTGCTTTAGACATCTAAACACTGCAGTGTTCTCCATTCTACAAACGTTGCATTTAGATCGGGAACAGTTGAGATCAGGGCTCTACTCTGCAATTTTAGGACATTAACATTGTTTTGAAGCCATTCCTTTGAAGTTTTGGTTTTATGCTTGAGGTCACCGTCCTGCTAAAAGACACATTTTCTTCCAAGGTTTAGGTTTCTTGCAGAAACAAAAATCAAGGTTTTGCTCCAGGATTGCCTGGTATTTTAATGCATTCATTCACCCCTCTACACTTAAAGACCTTTGTTTTTGATGATATGCAGCATTTGACTAACAACAAATATGGCACCTATTCTGATGGCCAAAAAGCTTAATTATGGACCACATAACTATCTTCCAGCTAACCTCAGGGTCTCCTGTGTGCATCCAGGCAAACTGTAGGCAAAATAGAATGTGTTTTAGTAAAAAGAGGCTTTTTTACACTTTCCCTTAAAACTCTGACTGGTGAAGCACCTGGGCAGCAGTTGTTGTATGTCCAGTCTCTCTAATCTTATCCACTGTGACCTGTAACTACTTCAGAGTGGGCACAGGTCTCTTGGTGGCCTCTCTCATTCTTCTTGCGCAGTCACTCTTTTTTAGGACAGCCTGTTCGCAAACATACATCTATGCCATACCCTATCCATTTCTTTATGATTGATTTAACGGTCCTGTAAAGGTTATTTTGTGACTTTGAAATCTTATTACATCCATGTTATGCTTTTCAATCACTTTTTACATAATTACTTGGAGTGTTCCCTTATCTTCGTGATGTAGGCCTTGATGCGGATCAGAAGTCAGACATTCCAGATACATGTGTATTTATACTACAATTACTTGGACATTGACTTCACACAGGTTATGGGCATGCATATAATAATTTGACTTATTTAAATAATCACTGGTACAGCCAATAAGTCATATGGATGGAGATGTATATTTATGCAATAAGTTATTTACATTGAAATCCCTTTGGAGAGATTTTTACAATTTTTTTAACCAATTCCCTCCATTTCCATGCCCCATTCTTCCTCTACTTACGGTTTCTTTCTATATGCACTCTGTATCTCTTCTCGAAGATACACACAGGCAGCAATACTGTTTATCACTTGTGGGTTGACAATCCTAAGTGAACATGCCTACTTATGCAAAAGGTGCTTGATCTGGGTGAACCTTTGATTGTATTACCAATGTAACCAACTGCAGTCACCCACTATATCTCTAACTAAATGGAACTGTAACTTATGAGATATTGGGGGAAATTGAATAAAGCATGTACACCATTTTTCTAGCGGTTTGGTGTCTTTAGAATAACTTGCACCTAATTCATGAAAGCCCTGCGATAGGTTTAGTTGCAATTCCAACGTGTGACAGATCCAGGTAGTTCTTATTACTGTCATTTTAAGAATCTGTTGCTAAGCTTATGGCTGTGGCTATGACTGACAGATTAAAAAAGAATTGCTGCCAGTTTACAGACTAGGAAACTGGTGGCAATTAAGACCAACTCGGATCTTGCATACAGAGAGACACTCCGGTGCTCAGAGTGGGCCATGTATGTACTGGGAAGCTGTCATGAATGTGAAGGCATCTTGCTCATGGTTCATTGATAGGTAGGCCTACTAGCATCCTCACAACCAATTACCTATCCCCTGCCCTATTTAGCTGCTGGCCAGGAGGTTCCCCAAAGGGGCTTTGTGTGAAAAACATTGTTAATTTGGGTAAAAAAAATTAAATAAATTAGATCCACTGTAATTCAACGTTAAAAAAACAATAAAACATGCAAACTTCCAAATGGGTGAATACGTTTTTAGAGGCATTGTACTTAACATATAACAAAAATAGTGTATCTGCTGCTGATATGCATAATATGTGGCTCTTGTTTCTATACATAGGACACATACATATGCACACAAAAAATTAAAATATCTGAAACTGAAAACCTAACTGCTGGAAATGGTTATCGGCATACAGAGCTTTGTTTGCCGCTTTAGAGATTTCATGTAGCAGCTCCACTTACCGGGTACCATCTGCTTTCCAGCTTACTTTATATGACTTCTGCTCAAGAAATTTGAGATTCTTTCTGTCCATGGATACAGGCTGTGCTCCAGGGAACCCAGATCTGGAATACATTTGTTTTACTTTTATTTTCCTTAATAACAAAGTAGGGATGAAATATTAAATCATGCTTGTATGAGTGACATTTCCATCTTATAATGTGGGATTGCTATTAGCATAATACATTACATGGCAAATGAATCCATGTGTAAAGTGTCTAATCTGCACTGAGAATGTTGATAAGGAATGCCACACATCATATCAGTTAATAATGGTAGACTTCAGGGTAAATCATTTGCATGCTGTGTGCAAACATTTGGGGATTATTTTGAAGCTTTGCACGCGTAAATGGACATGCAAAGTAATATGTATGCAAATGTGGATTTATACTATCGGGGAACAAAGACATAAAAATATCTTCTATAACATTTCTTTTTAGACATTTTAGAAACTTTTTTCTTACCAAACAGCAAATAAGTACATTATTTACCTATGGTTTAGAGAATTCAAACTACAGAGCTTTCTTTTCCCTGAACCACACTTTCAGCATAGTGGCTAGCATTGTGACAAGTAGTTGTGTACATGGGCGCCACACACCAACACATAAAAATAAGTGGGGAAAATCCTTTGCTTTTAGGGATAATTGACTGCTGTGTGATGGGTTTACTATGTATTTAACATGTGCTCACTTTTCCATTCTCAATGACTTGTAGATGGATAAAAACAGTTAATTGCAGAATAGGACCGGCTTCATTTAGTGTACACAGCTATTCTAAGGCTGGCCATACACTGTACGGATTTCATCTGGTTCTTGATGAACCGGCCGAAATTTGTTCAGTGGGTGGTCACCACCTTTCCATCCGTCATCAATAGATCAAAAATTTGAAGGAGCCAGATGCTAAATTTTCTGGCAAACAGAGACAGCAACCAATCAGTTGCCATCACCTTTTCAGGTATTCTGACAGCGGCATGCCCGCCACTTTCAAAACACACAGCCCAGCGGGAGATTTGTGCATCCACGCTGTTTATCGCGAATGGAAAAATCTGTTATATACATTTTTTTTGTTTTGTTTAGCCCACAGGTTTAATGAAAAAATATAACAGCGTATGTCAAGCTTAAGACTACCCAAGCCCAGTTTGTATCTGACTGCAAGGTGGCCTTCCGCACCGTTTGATGCAGTTCTGTAAATTGCATGAGCAGCACTGTGGTGTACAACTATGCATGGCTTTTCCACACAGTGTAAAACACATGAATAGGACACGTTTCTACATTAAAAAAAAAAAACACACAAGCTCATGTGCACACCCCTCAGTGTTAAGCTGGGTATATAGATGTTTGTGCAATTTTGTTTTTTTATTTTAATATTCAGCATTTGGAATGAATGGTGTTAAGTGAACTAAAACCACATTCACTGTTCAAATTTTGTTTGAGAGAAAAAGTTTCCATCCTGCTTAAAAATTTTTGTCACCAAGGTAAAAAATCATCAACGATTTGACCCTATTAAAAAAGAGCAAATAAAATCTTAAGCCTTGCAGTGTGGCCACCCCCAAAATGCAAGGGTTAAGTGCTTGTTTTGTCTAGGGAGCTAAAATAACTGTTATACTCACCTGAACCATGACCCCGGCTGGCTCCTAGAACGATCCCTTCAGCCAGTCTCCTCCTCCGTTAGAGATGGAATGTCCCTCAGCGTCCTTAAGTCCTATAGACCGTATAAGATGTGATGACTCCCTGAACCTTAGGCGGCTGAAACGGAGGGGGAGTAAGGCTGAAGAGACTGGTCTAGGAGCTAGCCAGGAATGTGGTTCGGGTGAGTATACCTGTTATTTTAGCTCCCTAGACAAAACAAGCACTTAACCCTTCCAGTGTGGGGGTGGCACCACAGCAAGGATTAAGATTTTATTTGCCCAAAGTTCTTCTTTAATGAGGTCAAATCAACAATCATTTTTGACCTTGGTGGAAAACGAATTTGTGACCATCAAACTCCCCATCTATCCTACATAAGAAATTACCTTATAGTTACGATATGCACAAAATCAGCACCGTCTGGTTCTGAAAATTGATGGGGACCGCACACACCATCACCATCTTGTAAATTAGAGTTATAGCCGGCTCACCTGAAATGTAAAGAGTGCCCAAGGCGCAGCCATATGCAGGGCTTAGTAGGCCTAAGACTGCTAATGTACACCTACAAGTCAACTTAATGCTTTAAGATGCACTAAATGCATGTATTTAGTGTGGACAGTCTTGTAAAACTTTTTTTCCTATTAAATACAGCCCCTGGATAGATGGAAGGAAAGAAAACAAAGAAAGAAAGGTATGCATACCCCCCCCAGGAGGAGAACTGTTGACATTTCCCCTGTACTTCTCCAAGTTTTGGTTGAGTTGTTATCTGAAGAACATGTTTTACTGCGACACCTTCTAAAAATATGGCTCCCTTAGAAAAGAAAAACAACAGTGTTATTTCCAAGTATGCCTTGATCAAGGAAGCCACTACAGAAACATTTACAACATTCAGTTCATTTAGGCAAACTTAAAAAAAAAATGTAAACAAGCTTACAATACATAAACACAGGCAAGTAATTAGAATGTATGTTGTATGCATCCATGAAGTATATTCCACTGAAAAATAATGTACATTTGGCACAATAACTTTACAGTCAGACACAGGTCTCCCATCACTACTCTATGGTAGAAGTGGATACCCCGACCGCCTTAAAGGAGAACAATGAGGTGAGTGATTTTCACTCATCCTCCTAGTTAAAGCCAACGTGTGACAATTAACCTGTCACACGTCGGCTCTATAGATCAGCAAACGCATACCTTCGCTCGCTCACTTTCCGTCCCCCTCTCCGATCCTCCAGCGCTGACTGGAGGAACGGACAGGGAGGGAGTGGGCACAGCTGATTCTGCCTCTAGATAAGCAGAGCCCGCTGTCAATCAGCTAGCTGGGTGGATCTCGACAGCATTGTCAGGATCCTTTCCGGCTGCTGCGCTCTCAGTATATAGCTTGCTATATACTGAGCTTTGGGTCACGGAAGGACATTAGTATATGTCCTCCCGTGACCCTAAAGAGAACTATGGGATAAAAAGGTTACCCCATAATTCTCTTTTAAGCATTCTCAGTCTGAGGCCAACCACAACTTACACTCCTTCACCCCACATACTGACAGTGTCTGGGAGCATGGAACTTAACCCCTAGTTGCCACCAAGAGGAGATTACAATGTAATGTCTCAAACTAACAGTGAAAAATACAAATTCAATTCACAGTCCCTTGCTAAGCTGGACAAAGGGCAATTACTGGAAAAAGCAATAATGCAAAAAACCTTTTTGTTGCAAAATTGTGTTAAATGCTGAAATTTTCATATGCCAAGAGCTCCAGTGTTCGCATTTCTGCATGCAGTGCATTAAAACATCTTCCAGATAGAAAATTTGTTCTCTCTTGGGGGCATGCGAGTATCTAAATATAAGGACCACAAGCTAAGCAAAAGATGTAAGTCGGCATTAGAGGAATTTTAGGCCACAAGAGGACTGACAAGGGCACAGCAACAATATCTTGTGAGTAAATTGTGAAAATTCATATTACAATGAGAAACCACAAAGAAGTATAGGCAAACCGCTACCGAAAGCCATACATTCTAGAACAAATGTTTATGTATATGTTTTACAAAAGTAATACCCGTGCCAACAAATAGCCCCACATAGTCTGTATGTAAACAGTAAAGAACAGAGCTATTTCTAACATACTGTAAACAAGAACATGTAACACATCTAAGAACAGTGACCCCCAATCTTTTTCCACAATTGCCTGGATAATCAATGCTTCATTGTCCATTCAGCAAACTGGGGATGTGCTTTGTTATGTTCTGGACCAAGCTACGCTGCTGCAGTGTTGGCTGAGGACCTGACTGTGCTCCCTGACTGGAGTGGCTGCAAGAAATCATAAATGCTTTGGAAGGTAACGTGTTTTAATTTATAGCCATTTGTTGGTCTGCTTTAAATAAAATTACTCAAAATAATAAAAAGAAAAAAATATTGTCTGTGTGCACAATATTTGGGCAACTATTAGTGTGCAGAATTATTATGCAACTAAATGGAAAATAAAACTTTTCCCATCTCACTTGTTTATTTTTATCTGTAAAGTGAGAATAATAAACAAACAACTCAAAATTTATATATAAACATTTCTGACATTTTCAAAAACAAATTCAGTGACAAATATAGCCCCCCTTCTTTTCACTCATAAGCCTTCCATCAATGGAGTCTGTCAGTTTCTTCATCTGTTGACGATCAACTTTTCTTGCAGCAGCAACCACAGCCTCCCAGACACTGTTCAGAGAGGTGCACTGTTTTTCTTCACTCTCCCGTTTAAGAAGGGCCCACAAGTTCTCAATAGGGTTTAGGTCAGGTGAGGAAGTGGGCCATGTCATTATTCTTTCTTCTTTAACCCTTTCGCTGCCAACGTAAGGCATACGGCGGAACAAAAGTGTTCCCGGCTGGCCAGCTCAGTATGCCTTACGTCGGTGGCATTTACAGTTCTGCTATAAGCTCATGGTCGATTTAGCGACCATAAGCTTATAGCAGAACTGTTCAGCAGACTGTCCCCTTCAAAATAATAGCTGTCATCAGCGGCTCACAAGCTGCTGCCGGCCGCCGGCATCTGGAGTCTTTGGAAAAGTTGGCGGCATCTGGAGCCTCTCATCCCTGCCTGGAGCAGCTCCCGGCAGGGATCTGTGACTCCATGGATCCCCGCTGCTGTCCCCCGCTTGTAGGGGCTGTGGGATAAAAAAAAAATCTCCAGGGTTGGGGGGTGGAGGAGCAAGCGTTGGCTGGCGGGGAGAAGCCACAAGTTTCAGGATGGCTGAGCGGTGAGGAGAACGGAGCCGCTGCCATCATGTCAGTTTCCGGATGACAGCGGCTCTGTGCGTGGCCGAGCGAAGGATCGATAAGGATCATTGATATTTACCGATCGTTTGTGCAGCACAAACACCGGTGTGATCACTCCGGTGTTTGTAAATAACTGGGGACACATAGGGGGTTATTCACAAAGCTGCCGAAGGCAGCCGTGTGAATAACCAACCCGAAGTTCTGTACTGAGTGCTTCCCATTCATTGAGTGCTGAGGCTGCAGAAAAAGACATTGAGGATTTGGTGTCCTCAATTTCTTTTTCTATTTCAAAAGGGAAATGTCAGGGGTCTGTTTAGACCCCAGAGATTTCACCGTAGCCCCCCCAACAGTAAAAAAAATAAATACAAAATTAAAAAATAAATACAAGAATTTTAAAAAAGTAAAAACATTTTAAAAAAATGTAAAACAAAATAAAAAATGTGTAAAAAAAACTAATAAAAAAAAGCCCCTCCCTCCCCCCACATAACACACACATATTGTGGTGCACACCATGCACATGCGCTGCAGTGCGTTGTTAGAACGCATCGCAGTGCATGGTCTTTTTTT